CCCGGCCGCCCCGCCCGGCGGTGACTCTGGCGGAGCAGACAACGTCTCGCTCTCTGGACATCGGCAGCCCATCCTGACCCCTGTCCTTGCTCGATGGTGACACACAGGCCGGTGCCATGAGGCTGCCCCACGCTCTGCTGCCCCTGCTGCTGCAGGCCTGCTGGGCCACCGCTCAGGACTTCCCGGCCGCCGACAAGGCCGTCGCCTTCCAAGGTGAGTGGACGGTGCCGCCCTCTGACCGTGTCTCGGGCTGCCGGGGACACAGGGCGGGGACCAGATGCCCGAGTGCGGCCCTGGCCCCTTCCCTTGATGTGAGGTTTGTCGAAGGGGGCCCCGTGGGGGCGAGGAGCACCCCAGCTCTGTGTCCGGTCCTGGTGGACACAGCAAGTTCCTCAGCAAGGCCCCTGGGCTACGGCCGCCGCAACCAGGCGGGAAGAGCCTGGCCAGGAGGATGAGCGCCATCGGGGGGCAGGGTCTCGGCCTCAGTGGCCAGGGCTGTTCCCTCTCCACCTCGGTCCGCTCCGTCTGATGGCCGCCTGGCAGCCAGTCCAGATGTGCGGTGACCTGCTCTCCCGCACCCTTCCTGAAGCTCGTGCCCGGCAGCTTCACAGCAGCCCTGGAAGCCAACGAGAAGGCAGCGTTACTGGCTCGGGTCCCCCAAGGGCTGGCAGGACCATCAGGGCTGCTGTGGGGGCCCACGGTCACCCCGACCGCGCTGGGCACCACCTTCACTTGACAAGGGCCGTTCGGAGTAGTGGGGCCGGCTGGGCCCGGTGGGGGCGGAGCGGCAGCCGGGAAAGTGGGTGAACTGGCCTCAATGTGGCCTCGAGGGCACAGCCGTGAGCAGCTGGTGTGTCCCCTCCTCGGCCCAGACTGCCCCGTGGACCTCTTCTTTGTGCTGGACACCTCCGAGAGCGTGGCCTTGAGGCTGAAGCCCTACGGGGCCCTGGTGGACAAGGTCAAGGCCTTCACCAAGCGCTTCATAGACAACCTGAAAGACAGGTAGGAGCGTGCCCGCCCCTCCCCCACGGGCCCAGGGCCTAGGCCGCCTGATGCCACGCCTGCCACGCCCAGCGGGCCGAGCCGCGGCCACTTCCCATCCATGGTCTGTGGAGGGAGGTGCTGGCCTGGCCACTCGCGTCCTCCCTACGTCCACAGTGGTTCAGACGGGCCAGGGAAGGGTTTGAGATGGAGCAGGCTCAGGACAAGGGGTGAAGGCGCCAGCCGGCGGGGAGGGCCGAGGGGATAGTGTTGTGATGTGGGGGGCCTGGCACCCCACACAAGACGAGGAGCCGCACCTCCCAGCCCAGACTGAACAGGATTAGGAGGTTGGCCTGAGGCTCTGGAGGGGCCTGGAGGGGCAGCCCCTGTCGACCACCTGGACACTCACTGCTGCCCAGGTGATGGCCAGAAACTGTGTCTGGACCCAATGTCCCGATGTCCCCAGTGTCCCAGTCGGGGGGGGGCGCCTGGAGGGGTCGCCATCTCGGAGGTGGGTTTGGGCATGACGCTTCATTCCTTCACTCACTCATTCATCTGTCTAACGAATCTGCAGCCTCGGGAGGGTGGGAGGATAAACCCCAGCAGTGGGCGTGGCCAAGGGCAGGACACGCCCACACTGAAAGGCCGGCGTGGGGGAGGGGCGCGAGTCAGAACCCCACCTCCCCCCTTACCTGTGCAAGGCCCCATCCCTAGTCCCGCCCTGTCCCTACTGACCCGCTGACCTGGGCCCTGAGCCTCCTCCCCCAAAAGTGACCACAGGGACAGAGGGTGTGGTTGCCCAATGCAGAAGGCTACGGACCGGAAACCACGAGCTGACCCGACGCTGGGGCTGCAGAAACGGTGCCTTGGGGAAGGGTCGCGGGGCAGCCATGTGGACCAGCACCCCTTCCGCGTGCCTTTGGCCCCTTACTCAGCCTCGCAGTGCCTCAGTTTCCCCATCTGTGAGCATGCTCCTCTTGCGATTGCTGCCGTTAGCACCAACACAGGAGCCTCCGTCACCGCATCAGCGCCACGGTCTGCCGGACGGGTCACCCCCGGGCCCCGCAGAGCAAACCCCGACTGCTTCCGGCGCAAGCTCACGGGGCAGAGAGGGGCAGTCAGATCCGTGGGGACCCCTCGCCGGTGTCCCGCTTAGAACTAGCCTCTCCCCGTCCCCTCCCCACATCGCCCCAGCCGCCGCAGTCCACCCGCTGCACAGGAGCAGGGGCTCAGCGGGTCCGTGGAGATCAGGGACAGGCGGTCGCGGTGGGCTGGAGCCTGGCCCTCCCGACCGCGCCCGCC